ATATCCAAATCTGAGCCCCTCCAGAATTCTGTACTGACTAAAGAGAAAGCAGGAGAATGCCTGGCCTGTTCCACTGTGGGCAAACACGAGCTGCTGGAGAGTTGCCTGAGAACATGCTCAGAATAAGCAGCGAAGGCTCACAATGAGTGCTAATTTGAGCAATGAGACTAGCGACATTGTCTAATGCAATCCCTTGGCAGCTGGGCCCTACGCGAAGCACCTGCAGTGAGGCCAATGGTGAAATGTGAAATCAGACGTGCTGCAGGGATAGGCGGGTGGCAGGAGGACACGGAGACATGAACCATGCAGGTGGCAACTATGGAGTATTTAGACTTTAAAACATGCAACATACTTCGTGTTGTGGCAATAGGGAAAGTGTTTACTTGTGATGCTTCTGGAGAAGGACTTAGCGAAGCACAGCAGTCACCAGAATAAATCCTCCGTCACTAAGGTAAGGTGATAGGACAGCGTGGGTGCTAGAATTACAAAGTGAAGGAAGGCAGAAGAGGTATTTCTGGCATCCATCATTGTATTTGCTAGGCACCCTTACATGGGTTTTTGCAGTGGTGGGGTAGCCATGTTGGTATCCAGGATATGAGAGCCACAAGGTGTCAGGAACTTCTGCTTGTGAAAGATTCTTCTTCAGGTTAAGCCTGGGAACTTGAATTCATAAAATGATGGTCTTGGAAATATTAGTTTTATGACTCATTACAGCAGTCAGTAACTCATTAACCTACCTTGGCCTGTGGCCACGGAATTAATTGCCTACTTCCTCTTAAATGGCCTCCTGCATCACTTTTCCCCCTTTTGCTAAATAATCTGTATCCCCTTGTATCTGTGTACCTTTCCCAGACCTGAAGAGGAGCTGTGTATAAATGTCTCGTCTTCCACCAGAAATTGATCCAATAAAAGATATCTTCTCACCCACGTTGTGTCTCCAATAACCTGGAACCAACATGGCTGGCTACCACACTGTAAACAATGTTGTAATGATTGTTTTGTGTTTGATGTTTACATGGGAAAGATTTGCAAATCTATTAAATCTTCCTAGAAGAGGAAAAAAGCTCCTTCTTCCTTATACCTCACACTGTACTGGAGTGGTAAACTGCAGTTCACCAGCAAGAGAAGGTCTCACTCAGGCAAATATCTACATGTTTGTAGCTGAGAGAGAAGAAAGATTTAAGTTCTTGGTATCATGCTCTGCAGTTTTCTGCTTGTTTCCGAGTAAATTGAGAGAGGGCAGTAGTGCCCTCTGGTGGGAAAAGATAATAGAAACAGGTTATAAAACTTAATCATGAAATAGTGCTTTTACATGGCTATATCTAGATCAGAGAGCCAGGAAACTTTCTTGAATAAGACTGTGCCTTGATTATATATTTAGACGGTTACCGTGACAAAGTAATAACTTCAGAGAGATGCAATGTTCTTCTGGCCATCTCCCTTGTAATGTTAGAATCATCTTAACTCCTCCAGGATGTCACAGGGATTTAGTAGCAGACCTCAGGGGAAGGGGAGGGGATTCTGCTGAAAACCTTGGAATTGCCAGACTTGGAGAAAGTTGACTAAGAATTACAGCGTATTTGGAGCAGGATAAGAATGTCACCTGCTCAGAATTGCCTTAGCTGGTTTTGCTTCTAATCTTACTTGGCATATTCCATTGAAATTGGTACATTACATCAGGTGTCTTACCTGTGCTCCGCAGTCCTGCTGGCTTATTCCAGTGAGAGTGCTGAATGTTGTCAGGGAGCTAATGACATATTGCACTCACTCTCTTGGGCAGCACTGAAGATTCTTGTGCTGGATGTATCATGTGTTTGGCAGCAGCTAACATGCTGCGTATCACCACGTTGTCGATGTAATGCTGGCTAACTATTTGCAAAGACATGATTAAATTGCTCATCTAGGAATGTATCGAAACTAAAATTCAGTGTGTGCAGTTGCCTGCTTCATATTAATATAGCTGCGTGTTTCTCTCTGATGAGGACGTAAATCCCATTTTAGAACCAGTTCAGAAATAGAACCTATGAGAGGCTTTGTCTGGGGTGTAGTGGTGAAGTGACTTGGTCCGGGGCAAATCTGTGATGCCTGTATTGTTAACAGGAAGCAAACAGTGGGGGATGTTCTGAAGGGACTGCATCACCAGCTTGTATATGCTCCCCCTTACTATGCCTCAATGTTAAGTTGCTCTTAGTTTTTTTATATAAAGAATTAATTCTCTCCGCCGTTGTTCTGTGAAAAGGTGCTTTCCAGTACTGGGTTCTGAAGATCTCATTGAGAGAGAATGTGGCAGGATGGATTAGAACAGGAAGTTGTTGTCCTCAGACCTCAAAGCCCAGTGGTATTTTCAGTTATTGTCTCTGCTCCGTCTTGTATTTAAAACAACTTCTGCTGAAGTGCTGTTTCCACAGCCACAAGGAACCACGTGTAATGGCCAAGTACCAAGGAGTCTCTCTTGACATCAGCCAAACATACCTTTCCCTGTAACTCCCCTGGAAATAGCGAATAATGCTAAAAAGATCTTGCTCCTAGCAGTCCGAGAGAGCCTGTGGTAATGGAAATCCTTTCTGAGCAAAAATATCAGACCTGCTCTGAATTCTAACGCAGAGAGTTGGAATGGATGCAGTTTTTTATATACTTTTCCCCCTCATTCCTTCCACCTATGCCTACTACTTACATAGAACTTGAAGCGTGTGGCTGAAGTGTGGATGGATGAATACTCAGAGTACATCTACCAGCGTAGACCTGAGTACCGGCACCTCTCTGCGGGGGATGTGACGGTTCAGAAGGAACTTCGCAACAGTCTCAATTGCAAGAGCTTCAAATGGTTCATGAATGAAGTAGCTTGGGACTTGCCAAAATTCTACCCACCAGTGGAGCCCCCGGCTGCTGCCTGGGGAGAGGTGAGTTCACTTCATAAAATGCTAGATCTGCCCGGGCTGGTTTTGATAGTCATAATAGAGATTATCGTGAGCTCTGATATTAGTTTGCTCCATTCCTTTGAACAGACGTTACATATTTATTCCTAAAAATTCTGCACTGAATGCTCGAGAGGTCAGAATTCCTGTATGCTTCATTGTACTGGCCTGCTCAGAAACAGAGCAGACCTTTTGGCTGATGATCATAAACAGACACCATATGCTGGCTTGTTCTGTAAGATTGCAATTAGGGGAGGCTGCATAATCTGGTTATTAGGACATGGGATTGGGGAAGTAAGAATCATGATAAAAATGAAATCCAGATGTCCTGTGATCCTGCAGACCAGTCCACTAGTTACTCTGCACCTCCTCTTTCCCACCTGTAAAAGGGGATACTATTACCCCTCATTGTAAAGTGTCTAGCCTAAGGATAAGAAGCTCATAATTGTTACAGCTTTTAATAAGTAACAGACTCTGTCATCCTTTAGTATGTTTTCTTTTAAGTTGAATGCAGGGTACTTAAAACAGATTACAATGCTGTACACAGTCCTATTTTGACTTATAAACTTTGTATGCCTCTTTCCAGCTGTATCAATGTCACCTCAATTGTATAATGCCAGGCATTTTGCATTGTACGTTTGTGCTAGTAGCTACCATAGTTTGTTTTAGGTAACTTCTTAAATCATTCTGTCACTTGGACAAAAGTGTAACGTAGCTCAATGACAATTTAATATTGCAGATCCGGAACGTAGGAACTGGTCTATGTGCAGATACTAAACACGGAACTCTGGGCTCCCCACTGAGGCTGGAAACCTGTGTAAAAGGCAGAGGAGAGGCGGCTTGGAACAACATCCAGGTAATGGAGCCTTCCTCATAACATGCTCGTTTTTAAAAGGAGCATGGTGAGGGCCAGCAATATGAAACACAAACACCTTTTCCAGGATCAAAATTAGAACCTACAACTAACACCTCTGGGTGTTGTGCCAGCGAATGAATGAAATGTGGTCTGTTATCCATCGACCTAAGCACAAAATGTACCAATGCTGTTCCTAGTAGACTGCGGCTGTTGGTGTAAAGCAAGCAGCAGGAGGGAATGGAGCTGGAGACTGTACGGCTCCTTGTGGAGCTTTCACCTTTTAGTATTTGAAGTATTGGGGTGAACAGAAGGGACTAGCAAAGGAAAAGATGATGCCAAAACAAGACGAGGAACAGGTAACAAGCCAACTATGATGCGTAACAAAGGGACTATTAACGTCAAAGTGTCTGCTGAAAGAAGTGATAAAAAGGAACACCATACATATTGGTGAACCTGCAGGCACAGTCAATAAGCACTTACTATTGTTCCTCTGACAGGAAGCAAATACAATGGTTGGGATGTTAATCATGCTTGGGAGAGAGATTAAACCGGCTGGGCTATCGATCCACCCTCCTGATGCATTAGGTGCCAGAAATGACAGCTTTATTGTAACAGGGTGGGGGGAGAGGAGAGATATTAGTTAGCCTTAAAATGTAGCAGTCAAATTGAAGAAAGATCAAGGCTACAAAGCATCTATTATGGAACCATACATAACTTCAGGGAAATGGATTGGGTATCAGAAGACAGTCCGTTGCATATGAATTTTGATCCAGGAAAACTGGAAATTAAACCAATTCACTGTGAGATGCAGTTCAGAAACAATTGTTTGCTTTGCCAGCAGGTTCCCAGTTTGTTTAAAGGTAGGATGATATTGTCAATTTTTTTGTATAACTCATTTCTGAATAGCCACGGTAATTTCTATTGAACTAGTCTCTCTTCTTGGGGGAGAGGGGAGAGGAGAGAGAAAGGGGGAGGGTTGGTTCTTTTGTGTAGGGAGTTTTAACAGCATCTCTTTGACTAGTAGAGCCAAAGCCACAGCAGGTTCCCAGTTTGTTTAAAGGTAGGATGATATTGTCAATTTTTTTGTATAACTCATTTCTGAATAGCCACGGTAATTTCTATTGAACTAGTCTCTCTTCTTGGGGGAGAGGGGAGAGGAGAGAGAAAGGGGGAGGGTTGGTTCTTTTGTGTAGGGAGTTTTAACAGCATCTCTTTGACTAGTAGAGCCAAAGCCACAAGAACATGTGTAAACAACGAGAAGTCCCATGGCACCTTAGAGACTAACAGATTTATTGGAGCAGAAGCTTTCGTGGGCAAAGACCCACTTCGTCAGATGCACCATGGGCCTTTGCCCACAAAAGCTTACGCTCCGATATATCTGTTAGTCTATAAGGTGCCACAGGACTTCTCGTTGTTTATGCAGATTCAGATTAACATGGCGACCCCTCTGATACCTGAGGCATGTGTGTTATTGAAGAGTTCCTCTTCAGCTGTCTCCCTGGTCACAAAGCCCCATGCCCAGAGCAGCTCCTGCTCACTACAGAATGCAGGAGGTAGGCAGCTTCTGGTGTAGACTGTCTCCTCCTAATTGGGAGTGAACATCGTCACTTTGGAAAGGAATTCCCACAGCCTGTGCAAATTCCCAGTGCCAGCACCTGCGAGTGTCACAAGTGGGGCATAGGCAATGCCTGAGACGTTCCTTGGGGAGCCTACAGAGCACTGGAAACTCCATTCAAGTGGGGCACCAACAGTGCCTGGTCCGTGGCCCTGCCCACGCCCCCACCTGGTCTCTTCCCCAAAAGTCCCTCCCTACGCTGCCTCTTCCCCTGCCTTTCTCTGTGCTGCCCCTGATTCCTTACTGCCCCATCCTCAGGGTTTATCGCTGCTCCACCGCATATCCCAGGGCTCAGTCCTGTCCTCCTCTCTCCCCGCACTCAGACCCTGAAAGGGGGATGGGAGAAGCCCATGCTGAAGCTGGCAGAGGCAGGGTGGCTCTGGGGATGCAGCCATGCGGGAAGCTCCCTGGCCACCACTTCCCCTTGCATTGCAGAGGGCTGCTCAGCTCATTCTCCCAACTGCCCAAGGGACGAGGGGCTGCACCCAAGTCAGGAAGATGCTGTCTGGCCACGTCAGCACCAAGAGGAACTGGACCTGGCCCCCATGCCATGCCAGCAGCCACGCTGACTGCACCCCCCCAGTGTCCTGCCCTGGGCTCCCCACCGCGCCAAGCACAGGGAAACACTTGCAGGGAGCAGGCAGGGAAGAGTCAGTGAAGAGGTGGAGGTGGAGCCACAGTCCAAGCGCCACGTCTCCCACTTCTGCTGCTGCTCCAAAGAGAATCGACCTCTGTCTGTCATGTGCTCTGGCACGGCCAACCTTTTTTTTTATTTTGGGGAAAGGCTCATATGTGCCACCCATAGGGGAACCTGTATCCCTGATTATTATCTGTATTACCACCGTCCCCAGGAGCCCTCGTCGTGAACCTGGACCCCATTGTGTCAGATGATACCAAATAAAAAGTCCCTGCCCCAAATGGAAGATGAACACTTTTTATGCTGATAACAAAATTCAAACTTACAACTCCCTTCCCCAAGGGATTCAGTCCTGCAGGCTATGCCTCTTGGCAGCACCAAGCCCCTAGGCCTGCAGCTCTCCCTCTCTGGCCATCCCCTTTTAATCCTAGTCCGTCTTTTGCCGGCACAATCCAAAGCAATCAGGGTGCTCCGTGCCATTCCTGGGGCAGCTGAAGGTACCATTCTTCTTAGCTCTTGGATTTTACGATCAGAAAGGGACCGTGGTGGTCATGTAGGGCTGAGCTCCAGCACGTGCAGGCCACAGCAGTTCCACTCCTGTATGAAGCCCTAACCGCTGACTTACTGAAGTCCTCAAATCATAATTTAAAAACTTTGTTTCAGAGAATCTGCCAGTTGTACTAGGTTAAAAGGGCAAGTGACCCGTGCCCCATGCTGCAGAGGAAGGTGAGCGAGCCCCAGGGTCTCTGCTACTCTGACCTGAGGTCATGGTGATTAGCTGTGCCCTGCACATGTGGGCAAGATTCAGCTGCCAGACCCCTGGGAAAGAATTCCCTGTAGTTGCTCAGAGCTCTCCTCGTGGAGTGTCCTGTCACCGGCCCTTGGAGATATTTGCTGCTAGCAGTTGTGGATTGGCCACGTGTTACTGTAGATTATCATACCGTCCATTCCATAGATTTCCCAATCTTGGTCTGTGCCCCTCCCACTGGGTGGCTCATGCTGCTTCCAGGGAGGCCTGGGGAACTCAGGGCTTGATCTTTGATTGCCTGAGGCACTAGACAGGCTGCCAGGGCAGATGTAGAACGATTATTAACTGGGGTGCCTTGCAGCTCTTTGCTGAGTCTGTCTGCTCTGGCAAGTGCTGTGATCAGTGAGTATCAGCTTAACACTCCCGTCAGAGAGCAGAGTACCCAGCTGAGGAGCCACCAGACCATGGAAGTGGCTTTTTTCAAAAAGAGTTTGACTTGCCTTCCAGCTGAGCAGTGCTACGCCCTGTGGGGAAACAGAAGAATTGCAGCTCTTGAATCTGTCTTCCTTTGCTCTTACTCATTCCATTCTAAGGAGGTTACCTTTGTCCTGGCAGGTGTTCACCTTCAGCTGGCGGGAAGATATCCGTCCCGGGGACCCTCAGCACACCAAGAAGTTCTGTTTCGATGCCATTTCCCACAGCAGCCCTGTGACCCTCTATGACTGTCACGGAATGAAGGGGAACCAGCTGTGGAGATACAGGAAAGTGAGTGTCACGTCGTCCCATGAACACTTGGGATTCCTTGTAGTAACATGGTTTGTGTGTTCTCTTGTGATTCATGTCGCTGTGACGAGACTGTAGAAACCCATTGTCATTTAGCATTAATAAAAACAGCATGGGCTAGAAGCTTTTTTGTTCACCTTCCTGACGAAAAGGCCTCCTTGAGCAGCTCATGAGTGTAAAAAGGAGGGTATAGAATCCCTTAGGAGTCAGCAAAAGCAGCCGGCTTCTCATGTTGGTTCTCTAGAGCCTGCCCCAGGTTGCACTTGGTATCATAGTCTTGTTAATGTGGGCACAAGAACCACATTTCATGCACCACTTCAGTGACTTACATGACACTGCTTCTGGATCCATGCAGGCTCACATGCAAACCCAAGTACTCGGTCTTCCGCTGCCTTTCCTGCATCCCATTTCTGTTCTTGTTGGATTGCAGATTGACTTCAGGCAGGCTGCAGTCAGTCCTGCCTCACTTGCTTACGGCATGCAGGGCTCCCCGTGTCCCCTTCACCATGCCTTCGCTAGATGTAGTAGGCCCCCTGGATCTTCATTTAACATGGGGAGGGAACATCGTGAAGTATGATGCCTCCTGGGCTGAGCCAACGAGAGAGCGCAAGCGCGGAGACCCTCTGTGTTAAACCAGATGCAGTGTCCACCCATGGCTGCCTGGCTGTATAACAAAGCCATACCTGCCAGGCAGAACCTGCCTCCGAAGTGTACTAGAGCCTGCCAGGTTTGTGGTGGTAATGTGGCTGCTCGTGCCCTGAGTGGCGGTGACTTAGTAATGCTGTACAAGCAATGTGTGGGTAGCAACAGGGGAAGAGGGTTGATTTAGAATGCTCGTCTCCCACAAACCTCAGTACCACCCGTCTGTACGCCCGCTGTGACTGGAGGGAAACAGCAGAGCATGAGCCCACGGGAAGAACAATCTAGCTTTGGTTTACTTTTGCTTTGCCTGGCAGATGTTGCAAGGGTTGGCCAGGGTGCCAGAGGCAAGGGGAGAAAACGTAGACAGACACACAGCATTCCAGTGCTTTTCAGGCAGGCAGGACTCGCTTGGAAATGTTGGTTTCTGAGCCAGTCCCAGAATTCATTGCAAGCTGATGCATTCTACTGCTCATCCAGATAAGTGAGTGTGTAGGTGTAGATTTACTTTTCCCCAGGGATTACCTCCCCGCCCCCGTTCTGCCTCATCCCGCCCCTCCTCCAAGGCTTCACCCTCATTCCATCCCTGCCCCCCGAGGACTTGCTCGCTGTCCACCTCTTCCAGCACCCACGCCGTCCCCTCCCCAAGGGTCCTGCTTGCTTTCTGCTCTCCCCCAGCCAACAATCAGCTGTTTGGCAGTGTCCCTGATTAGCTATTTGGTGGAATCCCAGATAAGCTGATCAAGGCCACCACAAAACAGCTGTAGCTGGTGGCTGCTGAGCACCCACTTTTTTTTTCCATGGGTGCTTCAGTCCCCAAAGCACCCGTGGAGTTGGAACCTATGACTAAGTGAGGTAGACAGACAGCAAAGTAACATCAGTGTTTGCAGCAGAAGTGGGAGGTGAGGCATGTCATGGTCTCCCCAGGGAAGTATCGGACCCCCACTCTTTGAGAAGTTTTAAAGAAGACTGGACAAAGCACAATAAAATGCAAGGAACCATCCTACACTGGAAGGGGAATGGACTATTAATATGTGGAATACCGTAAATAACTGGTTACAGATCCATGCACAAATAAGAAAATTTCTGTCCTGAAGAGCTTACAGTTGTTTAGATTGGATTGATACATAAGTTCATTCTGTGAGTTGTCTCCAGCCCCTACTGAGTCAGGAGTGCTTGGGCGGCCACCCAAGAGAGATTCAAATGCCACCCAGCTGATTAGCAGAGCATCCACTGTGCCCACAGCCTGCAGCATGTGTTTCTATTGATGGTGCACATCTGCACATGCTTTGGTGCACATAATAAAATGTATTCCACACATGGATGGAAACAATTAGCGGGAACGTTGCTCGAAGGGTGCAACAAAATGACACGTGCCCTTCCATTAAAAGGCTTGTTTCTAGATGTTCTAGGGAAGCAAACAGGTAAAATAGGCTCAGGCTTGTTTCCCTAGAGGGACTTTCCCTTAGACCCCCAGAATGTTCCCTAGGCAAGCAAACTGATTTTGAATTTCTCTTCCTCAGGACAAGACCCTTTACCACCCAGTAAGCAGCAGCTGTATGGACTGCAGCGAGAGTGACCGAAAGATCTTTATGAATACCTGCAACCCCTCTTCTCCAACACAGCAGTGGATATTTGAACACACAAACTCAACCATCTTGGAAAAATTTAATAGAAATCTTGATCTTTAAAGACTGAAAATATATATGTATTTATAGATATATATATTTTACAGTTATAGTTTTTACTGGGGAGGGTTACAAAAAAATTGTAAAGATTTTGTTTTTAAACAAACAAGGTAAAAGGGAGAATCTCAGGAGAAGGGGTGACTAGCTGGCCAGTCGATTTTTGAAGATGCTGCATGTTTCTCTCTATGGAGATGATGGAATTCCATGAGGCTTTACCAGAGCCACTTGTCTGTCAAGACCAGATCAGAAACTGTTTGTTTCTAAACAATTCTGAACCTGGTTCAGAGCACGTGTGGCATAAATGGTTATGTTCTCCATGATTCACACAAGAGCAGTACAACTTTATGTAGCTGCTAAAGCGTTCCTAAATAGTCACTTTACCTCCCAAGCAAAACCTGCACTCCAAATTATAATGCAGAGACAGCATACCAGTACCCCACAAATACAGTGACTTCCAGTGCATCAAAACGTAGAATGCAATAGAAAAATAAAACGCGTGTGTCTCTTCTGTGCACTGAACCAAAATATAGAACAAACAGCTTGGCCTTGTTATGCCTTCCAAAGGAATAGATCTGTTAACAGAATATAGTTAGAACTAAACGCAGTTGAGACCAGTTTTTCCAGTGAGTATAAGTCATGGGTAGAAAAAAAACACCATTTCAGGTCCATGCACCTTGCTCTCGGCTACCCCATTGTTGGGTCTCTTCAGTATAAAGTAATAGGATTAAAAAAAGGTTTTCCAACTAAAGTGACAACCTGCAGCTAAAATAATTGTGACTCTTACTACATGTTCTTAGATGGCTAGTATCAATGCACAGTCACTTACAGCAGAGTTTCTCAGAGTGGAATCATTCCAAGAATCCTTCCCATAAAATCTACTGCATGAGAAAATCTCCAGTTTTCCTCTCGAGATATGGGGCAAGTATACACTTAGCATGAGCAGCTGCAATTACACCGAAGCTGATGGATTTGAGACTGCTACCCGGGATTGCATCTGGCCAGGAATCCATCTGTCGGAGGTAGCATTCAGGGCCCATACACAAGGCCATCATGCTCTCACAAATACAAGCAGAGATTAGGGTTGGAAGAGACCTTAGGAGGTCATCTAGCCCAGCCTCCTGCTCAAAGCAGGACCAAGCAAATGACTGCATAGTTAACCTTCTGCTAAGTTGCTGAAGAAATCAACCAAACCTAACCACTTTCCTATCATCATCCAGCTGCTTGGCTGGTCCACCTATCCGAATAGGCCCTCTTTGGGAGTAGGCAGCATGCGAACAGTTCTGGGATTGTGAGGCATGCAGCGGCATGAGGGGCTGAAATGACCAGCATATATACTGTCTTGAGAAGTTTCCAGTGATGCTGTTGCAAAAAAAAGCAAACATGATGCTGGGCTGCATTAACAGGAATGTTATGAGCAAGACACGAGAAGTCATTCTTCCGCTCTACTCTGCGCTGGTTAGGCCTCAGTTGGAGTATTGTGTCCAGTTCTGGGCACCGCATTTCAAGAAAGTTGTGGAGAAATTGGAGAAGGTCCAGATAAGAGCAACAGGAATGATTAAAGGTCTAAAGAACATGACCTATGAAGGAAGGCTGAAGGAATTGGGCTTGTTTAGTTTGGAAAGGAGAAGACTGAGAGGGGACATGATAGCCGTTTTCAGGTATTTAAAGGGTGTCACGAGGAGGGAAAAAAATTGTTCACCTTGATAGGACAATGGGCTTAAAACTGCAGCAAGGGAGGTTTAGGTTGGACATTAGGAAAAAGTTCCTAACTGTCAGGGTGGTTAAACACTGGAATAAATTGCCTAGGGAGGTTGTGGAATTTCCATCTCTGGAGATATTTAAGAGCAAATTGGACAGACATCTATCAGGGATGGTCTAGACAGTACTGGGTCCTGCTGTGAGGGCAGGGGACTGGACTCGATGACCTCTCGAAGTCCCTTCCAGTTCTAGTGTTCTAGGATTCTATGAAGAGCAGGCTGATCTCCGCTCCTGCAGGAGCGTGAAGCTCACATTTCAGGCATTTTCCGTGATGTGTAGCTCCTAAGTTTCACAAGAGCTTTTGTTCTGATCAGGCTTAAGAGGCCCTTACGGCAGATGCTCTGAGGTGCCAGCCTCCCCTTGCTCACGACAAGACAGTAATTCAGCCCCTCTGCTGCTGCATGTTTCTTGCTGCATCAGTTCAGGTGCTGCAGGGGTGATCAGGTGACTTTATGATCTCAGAATATGATGCAGCGTTGCCACAGAAATCAGAGTGGCTTGCTGCACAGCACGTGGAATCAGAATAAACCCAGATTTCATGTCTGCGATGTGGCTAGTTGCAGCCTTGTTGCAAATGAGTCACACAGCCCTTTGAAGCCAAGCACTGCTTCCTTTGGAGGGCTAGGAGGGCAGAGAATTAACTGTCCTTTGGGATAGTCTGTGGGTTTTTTTTTCTGTGATCTCTATGTGCTGCCAGCATACTACAGCAAGAGGTGCTATAGAAACTACACCAATGCCACACTGAGTTAACATTCATCACTTAAAACATAACATTATATTTTAATTATTTGTAACATCTCATTAGAAACATTTTTAATACCTTGGGGGAAAGCACCAGTATCTAGTGCTTTGCAAGTAGCGGTCAGGTGTTTTCCTCAAGTTATTACTGCTCTCATTAGTCTGATTGTACTTACTGTGGCTCACTGAATGGCCTGACTAAATGTGTTCATGAATGTTTTAATGCCGGGGGAACAAGAGGCTGTATGTAAAGAGTACAAATTTATTATAATTGGGGGACACAGTAAATTATCTGATCATTCTGCTGCAGCCTATAGTGCTGTAACGTTAATGCCTGCAGTTTTCCACTTCATTAGGGGATTAGCTTCTGTTTAAATTACATGACTTTCTGTGTACTTGGATTCACCTTGTGAGCAAAGTTTTGGACACTTTTAGGTACTTGGTCTGTTGGCTACAAGCCTCTGAGATGTTTGGTAATGGGATAGGGAGCCTTTGATACCTAGGTCAGTGACCTGACTTTGGCTCAAGGGCGGTTGTTTGGCAGCATGCACTAAAAGCCTAGGTGATCTTAATGCAGTTCCTACAGGACAGATATTGGTCACAGGACCTCTGTCACCACTGTTGCCAGGCTCAGCACAGGGGCCAAAAACTAAACAGGCTCTTTTAAGGCTGGTCTCTCCAGGTCAGGTGCAATCCTGTCCATCTGGTTCATTTCACAAAGCAGTGGAGCGCCAATCATGAATGTCCCATGAATTCACTGTGCCTGTGTCTGATCGTCTCAGTAGTGTTCCTTGAGCTATTACATTAATTATACATTCAGTGCCCCAGAGGCTTTGCTGACTAATGGGAAGTATTACCATAGTTGGCCACCCACTGATTGAGAAATAGAAATTCTATTTCTCCATCTTCATCTTTAATTGAGCTTTTGCTGAGCAATCAGGCTAATTATTCCAATCCCATTTAGTTATTTAAAAGCAAAAATCACCAACTCATGAATCCATAAACAAATCCTCACGTTTGCATGCAAGTCAAGATCAGGGCTCAAATGCCATCAATTACCTAACAGAAAACGTATGCTTTCCATATCCAGGTATTTCAAAAACTGTCATTTGAAAATGTTCTTCTGGGTTTCATAAATTGTCTAGTTAGTGGCAAAACTGCATATAAGAATTCTGAAGGGAAGAGGGGAGGTGTGTGGTGTGTTCACTGACCTTTCAATGCCCAAAATGCCTTCCATCTGCCACCTGTTTCATAGTAATGTTTGTCTGACTCCTGTGAGTAAATGAAATGGGTTTGGGTCCTGCACATGAGTGCAGGGAGTTTTCCTGTGCACTTTGGCAAAAGTCTATTTTCCTCCATAGTGGAATGTTGTAGGGGGGGGTTATTTTAATGATGCTGTATTCCCTTTTCATTAAAGGTGTGCCTTTTTAAATGCAGATGTGCAGCAAATGCCTAAACTTGAACCATTTCCTAGTGCCTTGCTGGACGTGAGGGAAGTGGACTGGTGAGGAGGGTGTACCAGGGTGTGATGAAGTGTACAATTCTTGTTCTGGTATATGTGTGTGTTTGTTTTTAAATATCTGATTTTTAAGAACAAATTTTAGGATGACAGAAGGTACTGGCCAGGAGATGCATGGGCTCCGGGGTTTCTGTATTAAGAATATCCAGTAATGGCTGTGCTTTTCTTCACACTCCGTATAAAGTCTGGAGATAGAAGCCTCATTTTTCTTTGAATGATGGTCTCTGCTGTATCCACTGAGAATTACTCTTGGGACATAGAGGAGGAGATAAACTGATGTTAGACACGAGGATGTCTTGGGCTGGCGGTTGTACGTTTAATCCCTGATAAAGGCACATAGAATATCTGTTTAATCAAGGGAGCAGCATCCAGATGTTCACAGTTCATACTCAATGTATTCAAATACAGAGCATTTCATAAATGGTTCCAACAGCATATCAGAATCTAAGTGAAAGGATAATGTGGGATCTTCCATAAATTCAACACTGTGGATCAGTGGGGAGCAAATCTGTAATACAGAAGTAGCAAGAAAGCAATTCCTTAGTCACTCTTCTTGCATCCTGGGGTAATTTATATATATGGAATGCCAGGTCAGCACATCTTTCTCCTTGTCTAGCTGGAAGTCTGGTATGTTAAACTAGTATCCACACTTAAATAAGCACTGAAAGTTACTAACACAGTGGAGCATGGTGCTCCTGTAGCTACCACCATATCATTATGGTAACTGCATGGTCCTTGTAGGCGTGAGGAAGAACCATGTGAACAGTCAGAATACATCACTGGGTAAAAAAGAAGCAGCTTTCATTTGTCTCTTGTCAGATACGAGCAGGATGTTGACATGTTTGTGGTTGGGGAGTGTGGACAGCTTGCTGCAGCCAGACAGTAATACATGGGATCACATGAGCCTGTCAAGGCTAGCAGATCTAGAACAGCCAGTGGCTGTAGGATTGCTTTCTTGTGTGTCAGAGCATCATGCCACACTTTCGTTTTGCCTGGCTGCTTCATTTTCATAAGCAGATAAGTAGTGAAATATAGAAGTCACCTTTCAGAATTAACAGCCCACAGCAAATGGAGCATTAAGTGCCCAAGCCAGTCGGTACCTGGCCTATCCAAACCAGCGAACCAGTTGTTGTTTCCACTACAAAAGGCTTGTTTAGTATCAAGTGGTGGTGTGTTGTTTTAATATTGTGGCAAGCGAGTTGGCAAAGCACTGTTACAGTGGATACCTTGAGGCTAATTTCTGTGATATCCAGTGTATTTTTTAATTGCTGTTTTTTAGAGGGGAGGCAGTGTGGGCTAGCAGGTAAAAGCACTGGACTAGAAGTCAGAGACCTGGATTCTAGTCTCAGCAATTCCTCTGACTTGCTCTTTAACTCTCCCCCACATCCCCCGTGCTACATTTTCCTCATCTGTAAAACATGGGTAATGTGTGTCTTTGGTAAAGTGCTTTGGTAATTATCTACAAATTAAAAGCATCATGTAAGATCAACTTAATAGTGTAATACAAATGAGAGGCTTTCATGGACACAGCTTTGACTGGACTACTAACTGTCCTTGGGGAAATAGGGTAGGTATTGGAAAGTTGGGAGAGGAAGCTTCCACCAGTATGGGATACTTATTTTTGAGTTGTAAATTCATTTCATTTTACTGGTCAGCCAAGTCAGATTGCCTTATCTAGGTGTCACTGACCCTCACTGAACCCACACTCCACTTGTTTCTTTACAGTGACATCCATGTATAAAACTGGGGTAATGATTCCTGAAAATCGTAATAAAAGATCTTAGTTTTTTCTGTGACTCTGCCTTTGCTAGTCGAGTAGGCCCTTCCTTTATTCATTTCGTTCTGAGCTTTCCTGATGCTTCTGTATTACCCAGAAGGTTTCAATGATTCCAACAGATGTGTGCTTTTTCATTGGAAGCCACTGGGACCCATGCTGGTCTTAAAACTGCTCATTCAGCATTAGGAAGAAAGCTCTGATTCCAAATAGCAAGTAGGCATATGTGACCCTGGCCTACAAAATGACAGAGAAACTAATCAATTCAAACAGACTAAAACACTGGCCCTTAAAACAACAGTAACCAGTAGATTTAGCTTTTTTATGGTGGGAGCCTACAAGGGTATCAGTGATGAGGTTGAAGTTGATTCGCTCTTTGTATTACGTGCGTTTTAACTTATTTCAAATTGGACAGGATAGTGCCTAATAAATCAGTGTGTATTTATTTCTGGGCACGTTAGGACCACACTCCTAATATGTGGGGCCAGGAAAGGGTGGTTAGCACTTTAATATAGTAGCTTTCATAAATTGGAGTCATTCAGAGATAATGCATAGTGTTTTTAAAAGTTGAATGGACTTCCTTTTATAATATTTAAAATAAATTTTTAATGTTTTTCTGAACCTTTGTGTATGTAGAAATTACTCTCCCTCCTTTACTTCAGCAATTGCTTTCCTTGGCACTTCCCTCCTTGTTGTGAGTACAAAGTAAGTGTGTGTGTGTGTGTAGAGGTATATCTCCATATATATATATATATATATATCTCTGAGCTGGAAGGGGCCTTGAGAGGTCATCAAATCCAGTCTCCTGCCCTCAGGACAGACCAGGTACCATCCCTATGACAGATTTGCTCCAGATCCCTAAATGGCCCCCTCAAGGACTGAACTCACAACCCTGGGTTTAACAGACTAATGCTCAAACCACTGAGCTATCCCTCCCTGCAGTAAATATCCTGACTTGCAACTTACGGGAACATAGCTCGTTTCTCACCACCCCACATGCATCCTTCACTGTGTACTCGCATCCTGCTTTCTTGGGAGAGCTGCTTTAAGCTGCCCAACTCAGCAACATTGGAGCTCAGTTTGCCCCACACATACATGGACCCACTGCTAAACTATAGGCTCACTCTCCACAGACAAGTGCTCTGTGTCTCATTTTGTCTGTGAATGTTGGCAAACTTCCCTGGTAATCCAAGGCGCTAATTCTGGAATGTTTTAGAAACCAGGTTTGAATGCTGCATGCTCTAGTATTCCACAAAGGAAACTGAATGGGATGGTTAGAAGGTGAACTGTGCTTTAGGCCTCTTTGCAATCACCTTGCCAGTGTGCCCCTCAGATGACAAACTTAGATTCCTTCCTTCAAGGTGGAACCCAATGGTTCAACTACTTTCCCACTGGATCTATGGTTTCCAGCTCTCTTGATTCCAGCAATGGTAGCTGAGTACTTACATAAGCTTTAGACTGCAGAGACCCCAGCGAAGTCTCCGGGGAGCCAGCATGTAACCTGTGGCAGGGGACCAGGCCATCGACAGCTAGAGCAGCCCCTGCCAGCGGGGAGCCCCGCGGCATTGGAGCAGCCCCTACTGGTTAGCTGGAACTGGTAAGCATCACCTGTTCAGGGTGATGCTTACTAATTAACCTTTCATATTTCTACTCTCAATACTGTTTTGTTTCTTGCTCTCTCTTTACTTCACTCCTTGGGCAGACAGCATTAAATCAAGCAAGTAAACTGAGGTAGATGTAATATAGGTATCTGTCTTGCTCTCCCAGATGCAAATACTCCGAAAAAGAGGGATGAAGTTTTTCAAAGGAATAGCAGACCACATTCAAGAGATGCTACTTGGATAAGTAAACAGCCTGTGCTGAATCGGTCTCCAGATGAATGCTTGCTCACTCTGGGCTGCTGCGTGACATCATCTACACAGAGAACATCTCTGTCAAAGACATAATAAAAATCCCAAGAAAGCAATGACCCTCACCCGAGCCACGACCTTCTCTATTGGAAATGTGTCCAAAGGTATCAACTGTGAGCTGCGCTTTGAGGGAGCCAGATTTAAACTGAACAATCCATTTATGTGCCCCACTTCAGGGCAGGGAAAGAACTACCTGTACAAACTGGCTAAACTGCATGAGCTGGCCAGGAATTTTACACTTTCAAGGTTACACCACAGATATGGTCTGGGAAAAGGAAGTTTCTCCAGAGTTAGCAGAAGGCTCAGGGTCCAAAACCCCTGTCTTGCTTTCACAGATCCCCTTTCTCTCACCCACGCAGGTGAAGGAGGGTGGTGAACTCGTCCCTGATCCAAATGAGTCGGGAATCTTACACTAAAGTTCACATTTAACACTCATGGCAGGAGCAGTATCTTCCCTGACTTCTGTAACTGTTGTAAGGAAACCAGAACCCTTGGCATTTCATAGCCACAGCACCTTTGGGCTAGCCTCATCAGGTATGAATGTAAAAACAATTGCTCAAGCGCAAGCATCTTTCATTGCAAACTAAGCACCACTCTGAGCTATCCTTACTGAGAGGCCTATGCTATGCGGGGCCTGCAACGCCGCACTGCCAGTCAGCAGGCGATGCGGAGTAGGTACGCCTACAACACGTGGGCAGCCATGGATACATTTAAGGATCGTCTCCTCCAAGACTCGAGACAAGTATGGTGCCCTGGTGGAAGAGGGTAGGACAGTGGAATGTACGTCTCTGCAAGCTCTGGATGCTGGGGACGGCTGTATACAGCTCTGGATGCTGCTGACTCTGGCCCATACGCTAGCTACTGGTATAGTGACGAGAAGCGGTGCAAGGCTGCAGGTATCGGGTATCCCTCCCAAGGTCCAGAACACACTGCGGGACCTGCCATTTGAAGGGTCGAACCTCTTCTCGGACCAGGTGGACTCAAGGCTGCATAGCCTCTGAGATTCTAGGGCTACTCTAAAGTCTTTGGGGATTCATACTCCAGTACTGCAGAGGAGGCTGTTCACCCCCAGGCCAGCGCCAAAGGGAAGGAACAATGGCCGTGTCATCGGCTTCAATGCAGAAGTGGGGGCCCGCAAAAGTACCCCAAAACCTTATCTTTCCAGGCTTTGGTTTTTAAAAAAAACTTCTCCCCAAAATCTTAACCTAGATTTTGGCGATAAATACTCT